GGGAAACAGGGGAAAAAAAACCAACTCGGGCCCCCCCCCCCTTGGAGGGGAAAAAAATGGAACCCCTCCCCCCTTTTTTTGTCCCCGGAATTATTTGGGGCGGGGTCTCCGGGGGGGGGGGGGGGGGGGGGGGCGGCGGAGGGGCACGCGCGCGCGACGACGGCGACGGGGTCACAATAGAGACGGATCCCACAGAAAAAGCCCGACAGAATCAAGACGTGCGAAACGACCGCGAGAGAGCGGAAACATAGCTTGGGGGGGACGGCGGGAGCCGGGGGGTAAAGCACGAGGGGCGCGAGTCTCACCCTGGGAACGACAAAAGCTTTCGGCACGATCACAAGCAGACCTTCATCGTCCAGTGTAAAACATCGTCACGACATACACATGTTCTAAGGTACGCTATTGTATTTGTTAATCCCCTTATAACAGAGCAGTTTTCTAAAAACTAAAACTAGCTAAGAAAAAGAAGAAAAAAATGACGAGAGAAGAAAACAACACGCACACACACACAAGGCAACCACGGGTGTAACAATAACAGACACAAGACACACAAAAGCATACAAGGAAAGTTTCTTTGACATTGTTGTCAAACCGCCCTTTCGCCAACACCTCTTGTCGTGGACAAAAAAAAAAGAAAAGAGGGCACCATGCGCGAGAAAAGAGAGCCCAAACGTGCTCGAAACCGAGAGGTAGCTGCCGTTGTCGGCAGCACCTCGAGGAACCCCCCCCCATCGAGAGGTAACATCTCCACACGCCCTTCCCTGTCTCGAGCGTTCTGGCCGAAAACTCGAGCTCGACGAATGCAAGCCTCGTATTGGTACGATTTGGAGTGCCTGCACAAACGACTCGCCCGCCCGTAGGGCGGGTTGTTAACGTCGATTGCTCCGCTTTCTGCTGGCCCTCGCCTCTGTTGGGATATGACAATCCCCCATCGTCTCGTCCATGCAGATAGCTAGGCCCTTCGTGAGCGACGCATCCCTTATCCATCCATCTATCCTCCTCTGCAGATCTCCCGTAAGGTATCTTCTTTGCACCCCCCCCCCCCCCCCCCCCCCATTCGCCGGGATGCGGACGCCGCGTGTGCCCCCCGAGGTAGGATGGGGGGGGAGCGCCCGCTCCCGGTAGAGGGCGGCCTTCCGGTCCCGTTGCCGCTCGTCACCGACCTGGATGGAGACGGCAAGAACGAGGTGGTGGTGCTAGCAGACGGCGGGATGTTGATCCGAGTGCTGTCGGTACCGGTAGCGTCGGGAGAGACACTGGTAAGATATGTAGTGAGGGCATCCATTCCCTCACTACCCCCTCCCCCCCGGGTCCTCACTACCCCCTAAGACCTCCGCGGCCCAGGTGGTGCCATTGATGTCACGAGCGAGGGCCACGGCAGACCAGAAGACGATGATGATGATGATGGGACAGCGGTGAATGTGTTTTACTTCTACTGCTATCTACGACTGGTGCGACTGGCTCCCTGCTGTTCTCTTGGATACACCGTGTGCAGCAGCACTGGTATGTACACAGGGACGTTTGATGAACATCGAGCAGGCAACGAAAAGGCGCACATGCGGCTCGCCTCGTGCCACAGGCTCCGGGCGAACGCCCCCCCCCCGCGCCCCCCTCACACTTCCGTCCCGCGTGGGTCACAGCACTTTCCTTCCGTGCATAGATCCGTGCCCGAGCCCATCCATCGCGTATGAAGCTTGGGACCCCTTTTCTGCCATCCATCTGCGCGCTGAGTACAACGACAACGTGCGCACAACAGGTGGACCCTTGGATAATCCACTCGACGGAGTTGAGACCCACTCGACGGCTCGGGCGCGACGAGCGCGCGGTGGCCATGGCGGCGGGGTACCTCGAACCGCCTGTCAACGCCCGGGACCCAGGAAGGTAGGCGAGCTAGATACTCGTACGACGATGTGAATGGAGATGCTAACATGGACATGTGTGTTTTTTTCGCAAGCACGCGTGTCTCTGGTTTCGATCACCACTAGCGGCGATTTCTGCCCCGAGACCAGCATGCCCAGGTGCTACCGGCAGAATTCGTTCCGCTCGTTTTTCGGAACGCATTCGAGAAATTTAGCTATGTAACCAGCGGTGTCGACTTACTGTGCTACGCCCACAGAACGTTTCCCACCCAAACAAATACATAGCAGTCTGGGCCAACAACGTGCAGACAGAGGGCCGGACTGCTGTAGACGTACGTACAGGTGTTGGACCGTTTTGGTCGCCAGTGTCGTGTTTCCCTGGAGCGGGGAGAGACATAGTTAATCTCCGCCATTTCATTCCACCGCCTCCAGCTCAAGGCAGCAGCAGGTGCAGCAGCGACAGCAGCAGCGTATTGTGGTCGTTGGGGAGGACTCGAGCGTTACCTGCTTCAACCATCAGCTTGGCAGGCTGTGGACGACCTCGCTAGCGCACGAAGGGTCATCATCAGGCGAGGGCGGGTCTTTCGTCATCGACCAGGTTGGCTTGCGCTCTCTCCTTGTTGTAACTGTTGTTCCAAGTTCTAGCTCTCTCTCGCTCTCTAGTTCGACTTTCGCAGCCAATACGCTGCGCTCTACGTTATCATTCCTCTACCGACTCCACTATGCTTGAGGCAGTACATGTGTTTTGGCGGCGTTTTGTTCCATCTACATGCGTGCAAGAGGCACTCGGGAGCGAGGCCACTCGCAAAATGTGCAACAGCAGCGCTCGCTTTGAGCTCGCGTCTCAATTTACTCGGGGCAGTAAAGGGCGACCCGTACCGGTACCTCGCAACTAGGCCAGCAAGCCGAAGAAGAAGAGGTGTCTGGGGCAAGAACGCTGTTGCTGCTGGTGTAGCGGTTGCCGCCACCGCTGCGCAATCCTAGAAACTTTGAACCCCGCCGGACACAATAAATTGACACCTACCGAACGGGCACGAGATATGGTAACGGTTTTGGTTTCAACAGGTAGCGATTACGGTGGCGCACTCCGTGCGCAAGCTGGACGATCGAGGTCGCCCGAAACCGGGCACGGGCGAGGGACTGATCGTTGTCGGGATCAGCATGCGCCATCGAGACGGGCGCTTTCATCACAGCAGGGTGGGTGAGAGGGGGGGGGGGGGAGGGAGGGGGTGAGGGGAAGGCGAAAAAAGGCTGCAGCGAAGCTTCAGGCGTGTGCTTGCGTGTGTGTGAGCAGCATGGTGTTATTGGTCCACGCGTGCTTGGTTTTCCGCGTGCTTGGTTTCAAAACGAGCACTACCTCCTCCCCCGGCCTGTGCTTGCTGAGGCAAGCGGGCCGGTGACAACGTCTCGTAATATCGCCGCATTGCTTGTATTGCATCGACTCGTACCAACGTGTGCCCAGACCAAAAATATGTCGGTCCTTGTGTGCGTCTCGTATCTCAATTTGGCTCACAGGCCGGTCGTGACCCCAGCGGGGGCTCTCCCGTTGACGGGGCCGACCCCCTGGGCGTTCATGTGGAGGCGTTTGTGGAAGGGGAGGAGGACAGCCGGGACACTGTCGAAGAGGTGCGTGTGGGCGTCCCTTCTCTTGTCCTTAAGGCGGCGGGGTAAGGGGTGAGGCGTCTCGAAGTGAACGACGACTGTGGCGGTGTTGGTGCGGTACTGTTTTCCGGCGGATGGTGACGGCGTGTGCATCGTGTGGTGGTGACGGGCGGGGGGTTAAAAGAGGGCGGGGGGGGGGGGGTACTCATTGTCGTGTATGCCGTAGTCGTTAGATCATTGACCTCGCATCCCTACAAAGCCGGGACGGAACACACCGGGTTCTCACCGGACCAGGCTGTCACATCACCAAGCGCGAAGCGCCGTGAGGTATTCGGCGAGTCGCATGAAGGTTTCGCTGCATCTTGCTAAGGATGTTCGGTATCTTGTGCTGACTTCCTTGCGTACGGAAAACTGCGTATGAGTTGATTTATTTTCTGGTGCTTTCACTTCCAGAGACAGTTGTAAGCACTGTGTAACTGCCTCGAAGGTGCTTGACCAATTTAACACAACGTGGTGCGATCATCCCCTTTGCGCGGAGTGAGGGTTCTCGACCCCGCACAACATGATCTACTCGACCACCGCTATGGTCACCGCAAAAAAAAAAAAAAACGACAACCAGAGGCAAACAAAAAAGCGGTAACCTGGTTGTTGAGCTCACGAAGTGATCGGCTTGTTTTACAGCGTCGTTGCCAAGCGACGAAACCCCCCCCCCCGATGGCAAGCACCGGGGGGGGGGAAGGGGGGGCGGGAGGGCAGATTTTGCCACGGCTGGTTCGTCTGCCATCTGGTGCATAATATTTTGAGTGACTGCTGCAGCCGCAATCTGCTGGAGGCTGCAACGCTTGCCCTAGTAATAGGAGACACCCGGCATACCCATCTTGTTGTTCTTTGCTGCTGTTGGTTGTCACCCGCCGCTGCCGCCGCTTCCTTCCCGGCCTTTTTTTTCCCCTCCCGGCTGTGTGTGGCGTCAGGAGAAGATGAGCGAGGAGGAGAAAGGGAGGAGAGCCGCCGAGCACTTCTCCCTCTTCGCGCTTGACGGCGAGACGGGCGAGGTCCGCTGGAGCCACGGCGGGGGTGCTCATCACGGTGCGCAGGACAAGCAGAACGGCGGCGACGGCGGCGGCGGCGGCGGCGGTGGGATCAGGGACTACGACTACTTCGACTTCGGCTTCGACCTCGACTACCCCGGCTTCGGCGACGACCTCCTCTACAACCAGACGGAGGGTGCCGCAGCGGCCCTGGCGTTCGAGGGCCTCGCGGCCGTGGCCGGCGCCGTCGGGGGCGGAAGCGGGCAGAGGTACTCGAGGTCTCA